CCTGAGTTCGAGGCAGAGGACTCCAATCTGGTCGACTTCGGGGACTGCACTCTGACCTATGTCACGAAGGCGTGGTCGTCGGTCGGACCAGCTAAGGATCTCAGTCTTAAGTACCATGCTATGTACATAGACGGCACTGGGACAGAGCGAACGCTTTGCGGTCGCTATAAGATCACCGAGTGCGATGACCTCGGTGAGATCCCCCCGAGCTCACAGATGTGCTCGCTTTGTTCCGGTAAGATCTTCACTGAGCCGTGAACAAGCTGCAGGACCAGGGTCGCTCGTTGTGCTTGAGAGTTCCTCTAGTGATCGCAGCTCGAGCCCAGGTCTCGTCTTCACACTTCCTATCGTGCCATGGTCGATCGTACCGTCTATGCGAATGAGGCGGCGACGCCGAAGCTGAACCTGCGCCACATCTTCGGGCGACAAGGGCTCGACACAGGACTATGCAGGCTCTCGGCGGATAAGGGCCTGCTCACAGTGGAGATGTTTGCGATGCTGGGACAAGATCTGTCCTCTGCAAAAGAGACTCTTCGGAAGCTCTGGGAAGCAGACATGTCTCGGGGCGGATGCTGCGGCCCAGGAGCTGTCGGTCATGTCGCTGGCGGCGGTGTGGCAGGCGGCTCAAGCCTTGCAGACGCAATACGCCTCTCGGCGCGCTAGAGTGGAGGAGGACCGCAGGAGGATCATGCAGAGTTCCGCGATCGTTTCGTGCGGGTTCACCCGGACGTGATCCTGATCGATGCCAAGGAACCGCACAAAAAGTTCGTGGAGCGCCTTTCGCGGGATTTCCTCATCCATGGCATAGTTCCCTTCTACGAGCCGGCCGAGATCAGGACCCGAGCCGACGTGATCGTGGTAAAGTCTGGGCTCTCTCGAAAAGCAGAGGATCTGCTGTCGATATCGAGAGCTGATCAGCCCGAGCCGGTGACTGATGTCACCACGCTGTTCAACCGGCTCCACGCTTTCTTCATGTCGCTCGAGTACCTGAACATCTGCGCGTTTTCACGGGCAGAGGGCCCGCTCAAGTACTTGCAGGAGCTCGAGCAATTCCGGTCTGCCTTTCTTGATGGCGGCCGATCGGGCAATCAGGAAGAAGATCTTCCGCCTCCTGTCGGAGCAGAGGGCGACATACACAGCCTTCTCGCAAGCCTTGATCGAGGTGCTCAACAACCACAAGTACTTGTGGAATGACGCGAGAACCAGCGTCACGCTGTCGAAGGTCGAGCACAATCGCGATGGAGCTATCCCTCCGGTCCCACACAACCCCTTCAAGCGAACGCGCGGGGGAAGGAAGAAGAAGCGATTGCAGAAATCGGGGAAGGAGGAGACACCGAAGAAGATCGCCAAGGAGGACCCGACCAAGAAGCCGAAGAGGGACGATCGTATCCCCGAGAAGGAGTGGAAGCTGATCGCCGATGCGGCGAAGAAAGTTCAAGGCGCTCGCCGGTGCCATTGCTTCAACTCGTCGCTCGGTTGCATCTCGGGGGACAATTGCTGGTTCAAGCACCTGTGCATGGTCTGCGGGGAGCCGCATGCCATGATCGGCAACCACTGAACTGTTCCTTCTGGAGCTGACTTGGACGCGGAGGCGATCGCCCAAGAGCTCATGGCCAAGAAAGTCCCGCTCTTACGCGAAGAGATACTGCAGCTCGCTTCTACCTCCCGAATCAGGGACAACATAAAGCAGCCGGCGAGCGGGGCAGTGCTTTCTTTGCTGGCGCCTATCGGCATGGTGGCATCACGCGACTCAGATCGTCGTGCCTCTCGTGGCCCTGGGCGATCCAGGCGATCACCCGGTACATCCAGCAGAAGGTGCCAGAAATCGTGTTCACGATTCACGTCGTTCGCCATCCTTTACGATCAGGAAGCGAGGCCCCATCGCGACTCGCAATGAGGCCGTCCCGAACGTGGTCATCAAGCTCAGCGATTTTCAAGGGGGTGGGCTTTGGATCGAAGACCCACTCGGGCTCGACTCACAAGAGATAGATGGTCGGACGATCCAGGGTACCAACACAGACTTCGAGCAGGACACGATCGTGTTCAATGCCAAGGAAGCTCTGCATATGACCCTGCCGTGGGAAGGCACACGGGTGGTTCTGGCCGTCTATTCGGTGCAGGGGGTCGACAGGATTCCTGTCGACGAGTTCGAACAGCTCCTACAGCTGGGGTTCAAGCCGGCGCCGGTGCATACGGGTGATCACGCCGATGTCCCTTGGCAAATCCCGACCTTCGCCTTGACAACCGAGGATGCCGATCGCAAGCGACCTCACGGCGCCCCGGTTCGGGTCCGTGAGCATCGCCAACGATCTTCTGGACAGAAAGCGATCGCGGCGGGCTACCAAATGAAGAAGTCCGTTGTCCTCCCGTTGATCACCACGGAGATGCATCCGGGCGAGGCGATCGAGTTTGCCTTGAATGTGACTCATCCTTTCACCAAGGACGCCGCGATCGATGCGGATCTCCAAGCAGTCCTGCAGCAAATTGTGGATGACCCTGCTGGAGTCTGCGATCGCCGGGCTTCTCTTTTGCAGCACTGGGATCAACGCGCTCGCGCTCTGATTCCGGAATCCGACAAGGTTCTCAAGCAAATCCCGGACTGCCACCTTCGTCGTTTACTGCGAGGGCTCCGGACGATCAGCCGGTGGCGATCGGCGATCGGCACTTTCTTTCACGTCGCTCTATGGCGCGAGCTCCTGCATGAAGCCAAGTGCCCCGACGTGGACCTGGTGGACCAGATCTTGGCCGGCATGCCGATCGTCGGCGATATCGCCTCTTCCCATCGATGGGTTGCCGATCGCAAGCCTCATGCTGAACACCTCTCGGTGGATTCACTTCGTTCGCGGGCCTGGGAGTTTCGTTGCAAGGTCTTGAGTGCGATAAAAAGGGCTCCAGTGACCGAGCACTCTCCTAAGGTCTGGGAGTCGACCCTCGAGGATGTCGAGGAAGGGGCAGCGATCGGGCCTTTCTTCGAGGAGTCGGAGGTCTCGGAGTTTGTCGGGGACGATCACAGGATCCCTACCCAAAGATTCGAGGTCGTCCAGAAGAACAAGGTCCGGGGGGTGGACAGTGCTACCTCGAACGGGATCAACATGGCGACCGTCGTGACGGAGAAGCTTGAGCTCCCGTCTACAGACGCGAACGTCGCCGTGATCAAGTGGCTGCGTTCGCGGCTGCCTGACAAGCCTCTCCGTGGATGGGTCCTAGACGAGCGCAGGGCCTATCGCCAAGTGCCTATCTCTCCGGCTCATCGGAAGTGGAGCGTCGTGGCTCTGAAGGATCCCAGCACCGGCAAGGTCGCCTTCTTTGTGATGGTGGGNNCACTCGTTCGGGTTGGTCTCCGCTGTCTACAATTACAACCGACGCTCGGCGGCCATCACCGATGTTCTCCGGCGCGTGTTCTACGTGGCCGCCTTCAACTTCTACGATGACAAGTACGGGTTCGAACCGGAAGATACTGCAGCGAGTGCGTTCGCGCTCGCGGAGAAGGTGCACTGGTGGATGGGAGCGAGGTTCGACCAGCAGAAGCTCCAGCTGTGCTCTGACCCGACGATCCTGGGTGTTACCTACGATCTCGAGCAGTATCTTCTGAAGATCAAGAAGTCTCGGAAGAAGGAGCTCTTCGACNNTCCATGATCCTCGAGCACGAAGAGCTCTCCCCCGGTCAAGCTGGGAAGCTCCGGGGCAAGCTCATGTTCGGCGCGTCCCAGCTCTGGGGAAAGATCGGCAGGGCTTTCCTTCGAGCATTGTCCGATCGGCAATACTCTCGAAAGACGGCGGACACTGCACTGACGCCCGCGCTGCTATACTCCCTCTACAAGTGGCGGACGCTCGTCATGCATGGTCCCCCGAGGCCGATACCCAGTTCGGGTTCTCGAAAGACTGACGTGGTGATCTTCACGGATGGTTCAGCCCCGAGCACGAATCCGAAAGATCCGGTCGCTGAGATGATCGAAGGTGTTTTGTTCACCCGAGAGGACTCGCCTAAGCAGTTCTCTTCGGATGTTCCGAAGCTGATCATGCAGAGATGGTTCCCTAGGAAGACGCAGATCTGCATGATCGAACTGCTCGCCGCTGTGGTTGCCGT